GGAACCTGGTTTTGGCAGTCTGATATCGTGGTTCTGGTCTTTTTGACTAGTGCGACAGGTCGTGCTTGGGCACTCTTTGAAGTAGCCAGGTAATGTCAAGCTTAGGAAATTAGGTAGAATTTTTCTTAAAGTTTAATATGTAACTAGTAGGACACTACATGTTAACAACCTAATAAAGTTTTATGACGAGACTGTCAAAGGAAAAAAAAATAAAAAAAAAAAAAAAAACTATGAACTCATTGTTCAAACTAATCAATAAAATGCCGATATCACCATTGTTAGATCAACATGTTATTAAAACTAAAGAAAAACTCAATAAATGGAATTATAAACTTTACTACAAGGCATGTATCGAAATATTGGGCGAGAATGAAGGAAAAAATTTTTTTTCTTAACAAAACCGACAGGATAGTCCAGCATCTCAAGAAATGTAAACACTTTATTGGAAAACGACACCAGAGCAGAGAGAAGAAATTTTTAATTTACCTGATGACCAAAAAAAACAACCAGGTAAGAATATAATATTTATATTTTTTTTACCATATAATAATATATATATATATATATTTTAATAGTTTCCTCTGGTAACAACGCAACCACGTCCCTATATCGACCCCGAAAGATTATACGAACCTCAATATATGGACCAATTGACGACTATATTGCTAAAAAGTTAACTCAGCAAGATAATGAAAAATTCAAGATTCTCTTATTAAGACTAATAGTATCATGCGGATGGGCCTTCTACTGGGTCAATAAGCCAGAGGCTAAAGAGCTATTTGAATTTTTAAACCCTTACCTTAAACTTCTAGACCGTCGGGCCTTTAGCAGAAAGATTTTGGAGGCCGCTGTTGCTGAAGAGGATAATGAAATGTATGATGCACTTAGTAAAGATCAAATAGGCGTTACCTTGACATTTGATGAGTGGACTAATGTAAAAAATGAACAACTATTAGGAGTAATGATTATTACTTCTGGGGGAAGACCCTATGTGTGGAAAGCAACAGATATTAGTTTAGAAAAGGAAACACATATTGAAGTTATGGATAAAACAAATACAATGATCAATAAACTAAAAAGTATGAATATGGAAGTTTCTACTGTTGTCACAGACAGCGCTAGACCATATGCGGCGTCAAGGTATTATTTACCACAATCATAGCAAAATCTTATTAAAATAAAATTTAAATTTCCATTTTGATTTGAATTATTTTTGCATTCATAAATTTGTTAGACGAAGACTTAGACTTGTTCATAGAAATATCGTATTCTTACCATGTTATGCATACCAGCTAAACTTGTACGTAGGCGAAATATTCAAAGAATCTACGAACCTAAAAATTACAATGGACCAAGCAATTAAATTAGCTGCTTATTTTAAAAACACAAGAAACAAATATTTCATCACCAAATTACGGGACCAGCAGAAAATTACTTATAAAAAATATTATGGAATAGCTGTTCTAGGAGAGACCTGCTGGAATAGCTATTATTCAGTAGTAACTAGTCTCTTACAAACTAAACAAGCATTGCAGGCAAGTAAATGATTAACACTTTAAAATTCTATAAAAATCAGAAAAATCATACTTACTGTATCATCTCAAAATAACGTCTGGGTATTATTTTAAAATACATGATTTAAATAAAGCTAAGAATTAATTTAATTAAACGCAAACAATAATTATTACTTTTTCAAAAATCCTCAATTAAATTAATTTTTAACTCTGTTTAAATTGTGTATTTCAAAATAATGCCTGAGCATTATTTTGAGAAAATATTGTAATCTACAAAAAAAAATCCTAAATAAATTACAGCTATTTTCAAAAAGGTGTGAATAACGATTTCCATATACCTATATGTAAATCAAAAGAATCTTAAAATTCTGATTAAGAAAAATTCAAAATCCAAATAGAGCGGGTTTTTAAAACTCTGGAAATCTAGGAAATATCATCAATTTCCCTTGATATGGTGATCTACATTTGTTCACACCTTTTTGAAAATAGCTGTAATCAAATTTTAGATTAGCAAGTCTTAAAAATTAAAATTCTTAATAAGAACAAAAATTAACTATTCGATAAATTACTTACCTAAAAAGCTTTAATTTTTATTTTAGATTCTTGCAATCAATTATGAACCACCACATGCTCAAAGTCGATGAAAAACTGGAGATGGCTCACTTCATCAGGATATTTTTGATATTATCACCCTAGATTCGTTTTGGTTGAATTTAATGGTAATTGCAGAAATTTTATATCCATATTGCAAAATATTAAATATTTTGCAATCCGATAGCGCAAGATTAATACATATCATACATGGTCTCGCATATTTGGTTCAATTTTGGAGCAATCATACGAACCTGCGGCTTGCTGAAAAAATTTTGAATAGGTTAAATAAAAGATGGAATAATTGGGAACAACCTCTTTTAATTTTAGCTTGCTTATTGCATCCCAAATATCGAATGACTTATTTTAAGAACAAATTAATTATCAATTATTCAAAATTAGGTAAATACCTAATTTATTACTATAAGGCTTAGTCGGGTGAAGAACCTACATGTATCTTGCGTGAATTTAATGATTTTTCTATCAGAGCTTACCCATTTGATGATAATACTTACGATTATTTTGGTGATATTTGGAAGTATTGGAGTTATGTTAAGGATTCGATGGCTAAATTAGGATTGGTTGCTTGTCAATTATATGGAATTTGCATTAATGCAGCCGCAGTTGAATACCTTTGGAGCTGTATGAGCTTTTTACAAATGAAAAGAAGAAATAAATTAGCAGTAAATATTTTTTTAATTCAATTGGATTTGTATTATTAATATTTTTTTTTTTTGTTTTTTTTTTTTTTTTTTTTTTTTTTTTTTAGTCATCAAAAGCTCTTAATATGAGCAAATTAAAGGCAATTATTTCGTAGGAACATTCGCAAAGGTCAAACCCTAATGAATTGTTTTCACCTAATTTTTCAGAAGATAATTCCAAATACAGTCAAACCTCTATTATTGCACCCCCTCGGGACCATAGGACAAATTTTTAAAAATGTTCAT